ATAAATAATAAATAAATAAATAAATAAATAAATAAATAAATAAAATAGACATGAAAAACATAGAAATGATTTTGTAGGAAAGGAGATGGGGGGTTGGCAAAGGATTAGTGGGTATAAAATTCAATTTCTGGCTGCTTCCTGCTGAATTGAGGTGACATTGGATTAGGAAATTTCCTGTCTCCACAATCTCTTGGTGGGTAGTCAGGTGCTAGTCTTCAGGGCACAGGCTGGAATCTATATTCAAGTATCAGTTTGTTATTTTTGTTTGTTTTTCTGTTTGAGACAGAGTCTCCCTAAACAGGCCCAGGCTGGCCTCAAGATCACTATATAATCCAGGCAGGTCTTGAATTTTGATCCAATTCTCCTGCTTTAGCCTCCTGAGTGCTGGGATTATAATTATTTATCACTATATCCAGGTTGAAAGACACCTTTCTTTTTGACAGGGTTTCTTCTAACTCAGATTGGTTCAAAGTATGTAGTTGAGGATGATCTTGAACTTCTGATATTCCCACCTCTACCTCCCAAGTGCTGGTATTAGAAGAGCATGCAGCCATATTGGTTTTGTGAAGTGCTGGCTTTTGTGCATGCTAGGTAAGCACTCTACCACTGAGCTATAACTAATTAGAATAAAATCTTCAGGAGTGGCTTGTTTCTTTAGTGGTGATCAAAGCAGAGATTTGGGCATGCTCACCATGTACTCTTCTACTGAGCTGTATCCCATCTTCCAGGATGTTTTTAATATGTAGTCATTTTCTGCCAGGCGTGGTGGTGCACACCTTTAATCCCAGCACTCAGGAGGCAGAGGCAGGTGGATCTTTGTGAGTTCAAGGCCAGCCTGGTCCACATAGTGAGTTCCAGGACAGCTGGGGCTATAGGGAGACCCTGTCTCAAAAAGACCAAAAAAAGAAAAAAAAAAAGTAGTCATTTTCTGTTGATTTTGTTTTAAACTCATTTATCTCTTTTACTTGCAAACTAATGAAAGCTCATGAATAGTTTCCATTTTTTATTTTTTTGTGCAGTGTATGTGTATAACTGCTTATACAAGTTCCTCAAAAGTAACTTTTATATCCTCTGACTCCCATATTATTTTTTCAAATCTGATTGAATTTCTTCAAATTAGACTGATTTCATCTTTTTATCTACTTCGTTTCTTTTTCATGGAAAGAGGTATATTTCTAATTTCTGCTCCATCTCAATGATTTGTGTGTGTGTGTGTATTTCTACAGATTATACCCAGGGCCTCCTGAATGGTAGGCTACCATTCAACCACTGAGATACATCACCAGATCCATATCAATAATTTATATATTAACTTAAGATATTTGCTAGGTTTACTAAATTTTATTTACTTATTTATTTATAAGTAGTGACTCACAACGTAGCTCTGGCTGTCCTGGAACTCAGTATGTAGATCAGGCTGGCCTGGAACTTGAAGCAATTCTTCTGCCTCTGCTTCCTGAATCCTGGGATTACAGAAATGTGCTATCACACCAGGCCTGAAGTGTAATTAATAAACAATAAAACCATTTACACTCTTCAAAAATATTTTATTTATTTTATTTTATGTGTCTGAGTGTATCGCCTGCATGTATGTAAGTACATTCATGTCCTGCAATGCCCATGGAGGTCAGAAGAGGGCATTGAATTCCCCTGGAACTGGAGTTAAGGATGATTGTTAGCCACCATGTGGGTCCTGGGAACTGAACCTGGGTCCTCACAAGAATAGCCAGTGCTCTTAATTTCTAAGCTCCAGTCCCTGCTCCCTTTTTTGAGACAAGGTCTCATTATGTATCCTGGCTGACCTAGAATTCACTTTGTTGACTAGGCTGGTCTCAACCTGAGATCTGCCTGCCTCTGCTTCCTGAACTCCTGAGTGCTGGGATTAAAAGCATGTGCCACCACAACAGCAAACATCCTCTCTTCCTCCCACTTCCTTTCCTTCTTTCTCTTTTTCTCTCTTTCCTTTTTTTTTTTTTTTTTGGCCCTGCTCTTGGTTCTTCTAGGTGACTTTTCTGGAATCCTAGCTAAGCTTTTCCTTCAAGAAATACGCTTTTCACGGTCAAGGCAAGAGCATAGCTAACAAATAACAATTCTGGCCTTGGCCCAAATGAACTTCTTTAGATAAGAATTGATATTTATTTATTTTTTAATCTTTGGATTTTTGAGACAGTCTCCTTCTAGCCCCAGCTGGCCTGAAATTTGTTATGTAGACTGGGCTGGCCTGTATCTCAAAAAGATCTGACTGTCTCTGCCTCTTGCATGCTGGGATTATAGGTGTACACCATCACTTCTGGCTCAGAACTGGCATTTATGTCTCAATCATCAAAGCTCACATTATGCCACTCCTTTTGATTCTATAATTTTGTACGATTTGGCAAATGTACCTAGTCCCCATTACAGTCTACTCTGACAAAGCAGAATGTGATAAGCACAGGATCAAGGACTGCAATTAGAATGCTCATTTCAAGGGCCATGAGGAAGAAAAGGAGTCCTGGTAGCCCCAACTCCTGCTATCATTTCAGATTTCACAAAGAGAAATTTCCAGATTCCCTTCACTCTCCTGCTGCCTGCTGGGTTGGTTTATACCCTCACCCTACGTAACTCAAAATGTGACCACATTTGGACAGAGTCTTTAGATGGGTTCATTAAATTAGAGTGAAATCAGTACCAAGGGCCCCATTCCAATACAAATCATTTTCTTATAAAAACGAAATGTGGCTGGGCATGGTGGCACATCTTTCATCCCAACACTCAGGAGGCAGAGGAAGGTGGATCTCTGTGAATCTGAAGCCAGCCTGGTGTACATAGTGAGTGAGTTCCAGGTCAGCTAGGGCTATAGAAAAACCCTGTCTCAAAACAACAAAAAGGAAAAAAGAAAAAAAAAAAAAAGAGAAGAAATGTGGATATAGCCATGGACAGAGCTAAGACAAGGCCAAGTCACAAGATGACCACCTACAAGTCTAGAAGAGGCCTGGAATAGATAGAGATCTGGACTTGATCCTCCATGGCCAGCTAAAGAAACTAAGCTACTAAGCTACAGTCTTCACATTGGACTTCCAGTATTTAGAACTGAAAATGTTTCCATTTCTCTAGCAGTGCTACTTAGTTTGCAGATATGTTGCTTTAGAAATGGTTTATGACCTCCAAAAGTGATGTTGGTGGAAGCTACTTCCTAAGTAGGATGGAGGTGTGGGAACCTTTATAGGGTGGGGTCCAGTGATGGGGGCTTAGAAAGGATTAATATTGTTGTCCTAGAAGTGGCTATGTTCCTGGGCCCTCCCTGATCTTTTGCTTCTTGACTATTATTAACTATACTGTATGTGATCACTTCTTGGATGGACAGCCACATCCATCACATATTCCTCATGAAGAGAGGAATGCCAACAGCAACCAAGAAACAAAACCAAGAAAAATCCAACAGTGGGGAAGCAGATTAAGCAGATTAATGGTCTAAAGTTCAAAATCATCAGATGTGTGTCCTTTACTAATTGCTTAATATGTGCAGGCTTCGGTTTTCTTTTATGTAATTTTTGTGCATGCCTGCGTGTGTACATGTCAAGTTCACTGTGTAGAGCTCAGGGGACAACTTGGGATCTCTTCTCTCCTCTGTGTGGGTCTCAGTAATGGAGTTGAGGTCATTCACTAGGTTTGGTAGCAAGTGCGTTTATCTCTTGGGCCATCCATCCACTGAGCCATCTCACCCACCAGACCTCTGCTTTTAAAAGTAAATTTTTATTTATTTTTATTTTACGTTTGAGTGTTTTGCATGCATGTATGTAAACGCACCACGTGTGTGCAATGTCCGCAGTAGTCAGAAGAGGGAGTCCCCCTGAAACTGGAGTCACAGTTGTTAGCTGCCACATGGGTGCTGGAAAACGAACCTGGATCCTTGTAGGCACAACCAGTGCTCTTACCGCTAAGCCATGCCTCTAGCCCCTCTTTATTTATTTATTTATTTATTTTTTTAATTCGTAAAAATGGTTATCTTGTAAGAATTGAGATTTTTTTCAATTAAAACACAATTACAATGAAAAATTATGCCATCTACATTACACATCCCACAAACCATACATTAAATATTATAACGTCATGTTATCACAGCGTTACTATTGTTTTAGTTATCGGCTCTGTAGCTAACAAGAAAGCATAACCAATGTGCGGAACAATCCCGTCCTTAGAATTAGGCAGAGGCGGATACTAGTTACCATGACAACAGCGCGCCCAGCCATTTCTGACCGCGCAGTGCTGGGGAAGCAGAGGCCTATGGTGCGTGTTGCGTCATCACTACGCGCTCGGTAGCTAGCTCGGTGCTGTGTGGGAAGGTTCCGTCCCGGCTACCGTTGCCGCCCGCCAGGCATTATTTTCTTCTTTTCCACCTTTGTTCCACCGTGGAGCCTGCGAGGCCGTAAGTGCGGGCCGGAGGCGGGCGGGTTGCACGCGGGCCTGTCAGCTTCCTCCCGGCCGGGGCCGCACCGCGTCCACTTCCGGGCGGGTGCCCGCTGCGGCCTGCGCCGCTCCCCACCTGGCCCTTTGTGTCCCCGCGGCGGTGACGCTGGCCTGGCGGGCTGTGCGGAGGCGGCGGGAGCTCGGTGCGGCAGGCGGGCGGTCGCGCGGCCGCGGGTGGTTGGGGCGCGCCACCGCGGCCCGGGTGAGGCGGCACAAGGGGCGGCTCGTGCGACGGGGCCGGCGAGCGTGTCCGCCGCGTCCGTGCGGCCTAACAAAGCGCCGCCTAAACCGCCCGGCCCCAGGATGGGTGCCCACCCCCTTTCCACCCGGAGCCCCGTGCGGCGGCATTGTGCTGTGCCTGGTGCTCACCGCCTGTCTTCCTCTTTTTGTTCGCCCCTGCAGATAGTTCATTGAAAGCCCTCAGCCCCTCGGGGTGGTGGTGTCTACCAGTATGAATCTTTTCAACTTGGATCGTTTTCGCTTTGAGAAAAGGAATAAGGTTGAGGACGCTCCCGAACCAGCCCCCCAGCCCTCCCAACCTTCTCAGCCCCAGCCCGGTCCTTCTTCGCCAATTTCTCTTAGTGCTGAAGAGGAGAATGCTGAAGGGGAAGTTAGCAGGGCAAACACCCCTGACTCAGATATAACTGAAAAAACAGGTGAGTTACAATATTGCAGACTGCGGGAGCATCGGAAAATAAGAGGCTGAGGGATTCGGACACGGATGCATTGTCTCCACTTTGCCCTTGGAAATCCAGCGTTGGTTCTGCCATGGGCACCAAGTACCTCCCAAATGAGTTTTCCTCCTTTGTTGCTTCACTCTTTGGAGTTACTGGAATGAGCTCAATATTGAACGCTAAAGCCAGAATTTATGGGAGTCTTAGCTCAGAATGGCCACTGAAAAGATCGTAGGCAACCTTGAGGCTGTTAATTTGCCTAGAGGTTTTCATTCATTCCAACGTTTTTTTTTTTTTTTCTCCTGATTCTTTTTGTTTTCAGACAGGATCTGATTGTAGCGCAGGCCTGTAGTGAAACTCTTGCCTCTGCCTCTAGAGTGCTGGAATTGCAGCCATGTGTCACCATACCTGGCATCATCTTCTGGCCTTTTAAAGCAGGGTCCTGGCAGTGTATTCCAGCATGCATGCCACCATGTAGCTCAGCATGACCTGGAACTCAAAGCAGACCTCCTACCTCACCTTCTCCCATGCTGGGATTACAAGTGTGGTTATAGGCATGAGGCATGTTGCCTTCTGCGAGCTAGAACCTTTGGGTGCTTAAAGATTACTTCTGGTTCCACCAGAGATCCTGGAAATCCCTAGAATGCAACTGAGTAATTGATGTTCGTCCAGGTGAATGAAGCTTTGCTTTGTTCTATTACTTGAACCTGAGTCTCCCAGTAGCCCCATCTGGCCTGGAATTTCCTACACAGACCAGGCTGTCCTTGAGCTCAAAGAGATCCACTTGCCTCTGTCTCCCGGTGCTGGGATTGGGATTTGAGGTGTGGGTCGCCATGTCCATCGCACATTGTGTTTTGGATTTTTTTGGGTCTTTTTGAGACAGGGTCTCCCTGTAGTCCCAGCTCTAGTTAGTGTCCAAACATCTGGGTACTTTGTTTTTCCAGTAGATGTATTTTTTGTTGTTGTTTTTTTTTTTTTTTGTCTTTTTGAGACACAGTCTTCCTGTAGCCCTGGCTGGCCTTGAACTCACAGACATCCACCTGTCTCAGCCTCCTACGGCTATTCATTTTGTTTTTAAGGTAGAATTTCACTTGTTATTCCTCTTATTTAGGGACAGGTTCCTGGCTATCCTGGATTTTCTCTGTTGGGAAGTCTGGCCTTGAACTCCCTGAGCTTTATGTGCCTCTGCTTCCTGAGGGCTGGGATTGAAGGTGTATGTCACCACACCCAGCTTCTTTTGTTTCCTATCTAGATAATAGGGTTGGAAAGAATTGGATGGAGTTAGGATTTATTGTGTGCTTAAAAGTCTCTGCTGCTGCTTTTTGTTAAGTGTGCTTTGGGAGAGACCTCAGCTCTGAAAGTAAAAGTGTAAGCTGGATTTCTTGGGAATGTTTTTCAGGTATTACATTGAGTTTTTTTGTCCTTTATTCATAATTCCCCCCTTCCCCCCACTTTTTTTTTGGTCTTTTTGAGACAGGGTCTCCCTGTAGCTCCGGCTGTCCTGGAACTCACTATGTAGACCAGGCCGGCCTTGAACTCACAGAGATCTGCCTGCCTCTGCCTCTCTAGTGCTGGGACCAAAGGTGTGCGTGCACCACACCCGGCCCTTTTTCTTTAAGTTTTAAATTTGTGTGTGTGTGTGTAGGAGGGGGTGCCATGGCATGAGGGAGTTTTGAGAATTGGTTCTCTCCTTTTACTATGTGGGTCCCAGGGATTTAACTCAGGTATTCAGGCTTGGTGATCAGATCCATTACCTGCTGAGCCATATCTTACTGCCCTCTTCTTAAAAAATTTTTATTTTATGCATATGAGTAAGTGCACCACTTGCATGCAATGCTCCTGGAGTCCAGAAGAGGGCCTGGAACTGGAGTTACTAACATTTGTTAACTGCCATGTTGGTACTGACAACTGAACCTGGGCCTTCTGGAGAGTAGCCAGTTCTCTTAACCACTGAACTCTCTCTCCAGCCTCTTTTTCATGTGAAATATTTTAATTGCTTCTTCTAGGCCTAGGATGAAGCTCACTGTTAGTGCATTTGCCTAACATGCAATAGATTTGTTCTCCAGCACTGCCAAAAATCAAAGCAAAACAGAAAAGATTGGATTCTGCTTTACTTTTTTTTTTGGTTGTTAAAAGGAATGTTAATATTACTGTGTGTAGCTGGGCGTGGTGGCGCACGCCTTTAATCCCAGCACTTGGGAGGCAGATGCAGGTCTAGATAGTGAGTTCCTAGGACAGCTGGGGCTACAAGGAGACCCTGTCAAAAAAAAAAAAAAAAAAAAAAAAAAAAAAAAAAATTGTGTGTGTATGTAGGTCAGGGGACAACCTTGCACTGTCTCCTTCCACTCTGAGAAAAGGTCATTGTTATTTTTCCTGCCCCCGCACTTACGGGAATGCTGGGGTTACAGATCCTTGCACTACTTTGTGTGGTGGTTTTTTTTTTTTTTTTTTTTTTTTTTTTTTAAAAAAAAAAAAAAAAAAAAAAAAAAAAAGAGGACGATAAATCTTTCACTGTGATATATCAAAATAA